TCCAAATCGAATAATTTGTTATTTCTCAGCAACACCCATTCTCTCAACCAAACCAAATAATAAGTGGCCAATTACAATCTGAAATCAGCCAAGGCTAAATCTCCTCTTTCTTTAGCATCTTGCAACACCTTATATTTAACTCGTGGTTTTTTGCCTTGCCAGATAAGTCTAGTTATATTCTTCTGCCATTGCTTAAATGGTAAGTCAGTAGTCACAATTTGTATTGTCTGCAATAAAAAGAGTATCCTAGGTAAGACATTCATTTTTATCACAGAAATTCTTCCCAACAATGATAGTTGTAATTTCTCCCATCTTAACATATCTTTCTTAATTTCATTCCATGTCTTAACATAATTATTCTGGGACAACATACTGTTCATATTTGTCAGATTAATACCCTAATATTTTACCTTATTTTCAATCCTAAAACCTGTTTTATTCATCAATTCTAGTTGGCCTTGTATCTTTGAATTTTTTTTTAGCATATTTGTCTTTTGTTTATTATTCTGAAATCCAGCAAGCGCACCAAATTCCTTTAATTTTCTCATTAGTATTTCTATCCCTTTCAGAGGATCTTCTAGCACCAACACCAGATTATCTGCAAAGGCTCTCAATTTATTTATCTCTTTCTTGAGTTTAACTCCCATTATCCCCTCATCTTCTCTTATATTTCTCTTTAAAACTTCCAAGACCAAAATAGACAAAAGTGGGGAGAGTGGACATCCTTTTCTTGTACCTTTTTGTATCTCACATGGTTTTGTTAACTCTTCATTGACAATAATTTGTGCTTTCTGTGACACATAAATCAGTTAACATTTTTTTTAAAAAAAGAGCAGAGATACTGCTGTGGTGGTGAACAGCAGCCAGCTGGGATTTCTGTCTGGCTAACTCTCTGGATAAAGGAGAGACTGAGAGATCACCCACCTGGACCCTGGACAGCTGCTCCTGATGAGGAGACCATGAGAATCGAAGCCTTGCAATCTCCTCATGAGTAGAGGGGGTGCGACAAGGAAGAGACTGCAGGCTTGCACCCACAGCACAGCCTTTTTAAGGACATTAGGTTCGCTCAAACCCTTACTTT